TGAGCCATTAGCCCGTTTCTAGGTTAACTTCCGGTCATTAGGGCCAAATTCGAATTTTATATATTTTAAAATTTTCAATTTGACCCCATTTCTTCTTTTCTTTTCTTCCACGCCCCGCCGCCGCCGCCCGCCGGTCAAAGTCGCCGGAAAATGAACTTTTTCTGATTCCGGCGGGACCAATGTCATTCTCTTCGTCTTGTGGGCTCGGAGCGTTTTCCGGCGAAATCCGGCGAAATTGACAGCGGGCACCAACTCCAATGCGGTCGTGGCATCCGGGCGACCTCCAAGGACACCTCAATTGCAAGATTTGATGAAGATTTGCAAAACCCCCCGTTTTGGACCCAATTTTGAATTTTAGGGTTTTTTCGAGTAGAAAAATTCAGATTCGAGAAATTACAGGCCAAATTAGACAAAATGGTTTGGATATTATTGATCCTCGTCTCAAGACGAAGAGAATGACATTGGTCCCGCCGGAATCGGAAAAAGTTCATTTTTCCGGCGACTTTGACCGGCGGGCGGCGGCGGCAGGGCGTGGAAGAAAAGAAAAGAAGAAATGGGGTCAAATTGAAAATTTTAAAATATATAAAATTCGAATTTGACCCTAATGACCGGAAGTTAACCTAGAAACAGGCTAATGGCTCATTAGTAAAAGGATTGTGTAAGTTCAGGGATTTTTGTGAAAGGATTTGAAGTTCAGGTACCTCTTCGAAATTCCAGCTAAAGTTCAGGTACCATTTGTGAAATTTACCCCTTTTTTTGCAATCTTAGAACTCTGTGCACAGGGTTTATTGAATTTACAGCTTGGGAAGTGTTGAGGTTCGTGATTTGTGATACTGAAAAACAACTTTGCAGTGTACATTGTGTTTCACACCAACACCATTTCGTATCACCTGTTAACAATTAATAGAAGGATTCCGAGCAAAAGGTAAGATAACAAACACATGAGAACTGTGAAGACATTTGAAAATGGATCAAATATCAAGTACAAAGGAAAGGGAGGATAAAACCAAAGCCCTCAAAAGTGAAAAAAGATAAAACTAAATAGAGGCCTAAAAATACCCCCCCCCCCCCCTCCCCCCCACAAAAACAAAGTGTATGCAAATGTGAAAACTCGGAGTCAAGTAAAAAGATTAAACTCAACTAAAAAATAACACCCACTATTCTGTGGTCGATACGAATCTAGACTCTCGGAATTGTAGAAAATAGATTGATGGCACTTAAAACAAGGAATATGCTGAGCGTGAAAGTGCTTTCCCAGGATTTGGTTTGATAGCACAGAAAAAAAATTCTAATGGCTCGTCATTGTAAAGATGTAAAAAATCTGCACAACTTATTCATTGTTGTGGTATCAGTTTGGAATTATTAATCTGAATACTACAATAATATTTTTTTATATTGAGAATGTCAAATGAGAATGATAGTTTAGATGGTAGATCAAAGTATATGAGAGTTTTGCTTCGGGTGATGAAAATATTGAATGAGCTTTTATCTAAACATCAGAAGGTACACGTCTAATAATATTTTTTGATATTCACAGCAATTATGTATAGCTAGGCAAATGAAATATTAAATATTCACAGTAATTACAACTCACTAAATAAGTAATTGGGCAGGGAACGTTGGGGGAATTCATAATATACTTATCTACAAGAATAGGAACCAGTCAGTAATGTTCCCCAAGTAGTGTCTCGGTTTAAGCAAATCTAAAAAGGCAGTGAAGCTTTTTAAGAAATATTTGATTTATTTGGAGAAGTTAGAGAGTCAAAAATCAGTCTCAGCAGCAAACTACTCAAACTGAAACTCACCCATATGCGTGTTCCATATGATTGTTTTGGTGGCATCCAAAGGTTCATAAAATATTTGATTGTATCCGATCCAACATCTAACGTCATCCAGCCATTTGGTATTGCAGTTGCGCTAACTACCTGATTAATCACAAGCATTATCATTCATCATTTAATTTGCACCTCAAAACTCAAAAGAAAAGATAATCTTTGTCTATGTCTGAAATGCAAAAATTTTAGGGTTGATTTTTACCTTAGAGAATATGGACGAATTTGAAATTTGATTAGAACTCTTTGAAATTCACATCATGTTTTTTTATTGATTAAATCTTTCGAATTTCCTTTCCTTCAAAATTGTTATTCCAATTTTATTTCCATAGAAGCATCGTCAAGTGCATGAACACCAGGAAGGATTTTCCCTTCAAGTAGGTCTCGGCTTGCACGACCTTCAGTGATTTGTGATACTGAGAAACAACTTTGCAGTGTACATTGTGTTTCTTTGATGGATCAGAAGGTTACATGTTTTCACACCAACACCATTTCGTATCACCTGTTAACAATTAATAGAAGGATTCCGAGCAAAAGGTAAGATAACAAACACATGAGAACTGTGAAGACATTTGAAAATGGATCAAATATCAAGTACAAAGGAAAGGGAGGATAAAACCAAAGCCCTCAAAAGTGAAAAAAGATAAAACTAAATAGAGGCCTAAAAATACCCCCCCCCCCCACAAAAACAAAGTGTATGCAAATGTGAAAACTCGGAGTCAAGTAAAAAGATTCAACTCAACTAAAAAACAACACCCACTATTCTGTGGTCGATACGAATCTAGACTCTCGGAATTCTAGAAAATAGATTGATGGCACTTAAAACAAGGAATATGCTGAGCGTGAAGGTGCCTTCCCAGGATTTGGTTTGATAGCACAGAAAGAATATTCTAATGGCTCGTCATTGTAAAGATGTAAAAAATTTGCACAACTTATTCATTGTTGTGGTATCAGTTTGGAATTATTAATCTGAATACTACAATAATATTTTTTTATATTGAGAAT